GTTGCTGTGAGCTAGGATGACGCCATGGTACTCTAGCCCGGGCAACAGAGTGAGACTCTGTCTCAAAAAAAAAAAAAAAATTGTTTTAAAAATTAGCCAGACGTGGTGGTTTGTACCTGTAGTCCCAGCTACTTGGGAGGCTGAGGCAGAAGGAACGCTCAAGCCCAGGAGTTTGAGGCTGCAGTGAGCTCTGATGATACCCCTGCACACTAGCTTGGGGCACAGAGTGAGACCCTGTCTCAAAAAATATAATGGCTAGGAGGGAGGTGCAATAAGAGTTAAAAAAGCAGAGATGAAGTGGAGATGTAGTTGAAGGAAAGGGCTTTCCAAAGGATGAGTGAGATTTAGAAAGATGGACAGACAGCAAGGACGGTGGTATGGAGAATAGTTTAAGTGCTGAGGGCAGCGTAAGGGACCTGTGGTCTGGAGGTGTGGGTGATGGGCAATGGGAGATAGGTTTATTTGGTTGCAGTGTGTTACACTGAGGAGTAGGGGATGAAATAATCACAGTTGAGTTTGAAAAGAATTGGAATTATACTGAAATGGATGTGAGTAGACATCTACCTGTAGACCTTTGCTAGAGGTAAGCCTTAAAAGCAGAGATAATCCTAAACATGTATATTTGGCTTGAGAATAATTTATTTATTTATTTTTAGAGGCAGGCATGCTTGAGGTTCTGAAGTATATACTTGACAGTGATGAGATCAGGTATATACCAGAGTTGTTTTTTAACTGTCCCTATGTGCCAGGCATGCTGCCAAGGACTTTACACATATCATCTCATTTTTAAATGAGTAAACAAAAGTTCCGAGGGGCTAAGTAACTTGCCCATTATCACGCAGCCAGTGAGAGGCAGAGCTAGGGTTCAAATCCAGGTGCCACATTACTAAAAGGTGTTTCCTGGTAGATGAACCTGGGCTTTCCCTAGATCCTTTTGTTGGGCTGGGGGTTGTATTGAGGGAAAAGATGAACTGAGCTGATGACCAATATCAGCAAGCCGTAAAAGAGGCAGAGTTTAAATAAGATAAGCAGCTCTAATGTAAACTGAGCATTGCCTGTGGCATCCTATTTGTTGGCTCTTTAAAGTAGTAACTTCTTTTCCTGTTTGATAAAAATAAAAAACTGTTTAACTGTCAGGGTACACAAACCATGTGGTGTTTGTAATAAATTAGTAGTACCCTTTTGTTTATGAATGAGTGGAAAGGAAGAAAGAGACCTCCGGGGTTCTGGAGTTGGGAAGTGTTTTCTGTTCACCCCAGGTGCCGTCTTTATGGTATGGGCAAGGAGGGGTGCCTTAGGTGCTGGTGTCAGGGATCACTGAGTTGGCAATAGATTTGATTTACTCTAAAGAAATCCCTGCCTGCCATCAAGGCTGGGAAAGAACATGACGCTCTTGGAAGCCTGTGACCACAGTTTTAGTAGGATAGTTTCCTGCTGCCCCCATAGTTATAGTTTAACTTGCTAAGGTTGGTAGGATAAAATGAAAAGATTGCTTTAAGCACCTGCTCTATGAGGGCTGGGTTGATATGTCAACAGAATGGCACATCTGTCAGTGCCAGGACCTGGACACCTTGGAGTCCTGCCCCAGCTGCTCTTGAATAATCATAAGCTGTCTGAACCCAGTGCTCTGTCCCTGGGGAGAAACTTCAGGTGGGAATGTCTGCCCTGGCTGCATCCCACAGCCCAGAGGGCCTGGCCCCTTCCTATGTATGGGCTGTCAGAGGGAGTCGGAAAAGTGAGTATATGCTGACCCGCTCCAAAGATTCATAAATCTGGCTCCCTGCTTTTGTTAGATTAGCTGGCCTCATTGTCACCTCAATTGTGGCTGACCCGTCCCAGGTGAACAGTGAGATCAAGTACTGGTGAAGGTTAGAAGCTGTTTTAATTAACCTTTTTTATGTGATTAGCTCAAGAGATGCTGAAGACCAACAGTCAGGGTAGGATAGGTGCTCACTCTGTTGACTCAAGAATAGTCTTGCCATGAATTCTAGCACTCTGAATCACCTCTGGGGGCAGGGTAGCTTCTGTTTAGACAGTGTGAGAGTGATGAAAAACAATTTACAGGTGTGGAAGGAGAAAGACAAGCTCTATTAAAATTAGTTACATCTTTTTCTCATGTCAGTAGTTTAAAACA